CTGGGCCTGCCCCACCTGTATTCCAGGAGCTGGAATTCCAGGCTGGGGACTCTCTCTGAGCTGCCTCACCCCTTTATTAAGTGTCAAAATCCCTCCTTTAATTGGGGATATTCATTTTCCTCAGGGTTTGGGGCTCCTTTGGGCAACGAGCCAGAACTGATGTGTCTCTTTTAAAGGGAATATTTTACTTTCCTCACTCCTCTTTCTTGGTGAAGCTTCTGTGCTCTTTCCTTGGGAGCTGATGTGACCCAGGCTGAGAGATTTGGGTTGTTTTCTCCTTTTCCTTCCTCAAATAGCTGGAGACATTTTACCTCAACCCCTCTCTTGTGTTCAGTGCATTAGATCAGTTGTTTGAGCAACTAAATTTGAGGCTTCTGACCTGCATTAAACCCTTGTTGGCTTTCCATTGATCTCACATCACTCTCCATCTGGCTCAAAACAGGACTTGGAAGGAGTTTTTGGGGCTTTCAACTTCTTCTATCTTAACTATAAGGAACTATTTCAGCTTTCAACGTTCAGGACTGGAATAATTTTGATTTCTGAGGTAGTTTGTGAGCTCGTGCTCGTACGAGGATTAATTAAAAACCCAGAGAAACCTCTGTGCTGCAGGGAGGGAGGAAGAGCAGAACTCCATTTATACAGCCAGGCTGAGTAAGAGGTGACATGGTGAAGGGTATGTAAAATACCAGTGAGCTTGAAAAGAGCAGATTAGGACATTAATTAGTGGGGGTTGTAGTACAGGTGTTTTGAAATTCCGAGGAAAATACCTGACCCGACTGAACACTTCCCTAATGCTTAATTAATCCTTGCCACCCCTTCTCATTAAGGCTGAGGAGTTACAAGCCTTCAGAAGAGGATGGAGACATTTTTGGGAGCCAACAAAGGCTGGGAGTTATTTTAGATCAAACTAAATGATAATGCATTAGATCAAACAAGGTATTAGGTGAAACCAAATGACAATATGCACCCTTAGGGAAACATTTCAGTGAATAAAAACGCCCAGGGTGGGGTTATTCCTGAATAATCCATCAGGAGACATGGAGTTTTCTTTGAAAGCTTGGGTGAAGGTGGATTCTGGGGCAGATTTTGGGTTACTTGGTTCCTGTGGCAAGAAAAGTCCTGGGATGCTCCGTGATGTCTGCTTGTTTATTCAGATTGTTGTCCTTGGCACGGGCTGATGGATGTGGGCAGATCTTTTTAATGCTGTTAAATTTTACATCTCTCATGCAAAGTTGGGATTATCATGGAATTTGGGTTGGGAAGGATCTTCAAGATCATCCAGTCCCACCCCCTGCCATGGGCAGGGACACCTCCCACTATTCCAGGTTGCTCCAGCCTGGCCTTGGACACTTCCAGGGATCCAGGGGCAGCCACAGCTTCTCTGGGCAACCTGTGCCAGGGCCTCCCCACCCTCCCAGGGAACAATTCCTTCCCATATCCCACCTAACCCTGCCCTCTGGCAGTGGGAATTTTATCTGTCTCTGCATCTGCCCTTGGTCAAAGTGAAGTTGCTCCTTCTTTGCCCCCTGGGAGGTGACAAAACTCCCCCTGGGGAACGATGGGAAAGGACCTGCTGGAAACTGGGGAGCACCAGGATGGAGTGTCATTGTCCCAGTGCTGCTCTGATTAAAAACTAGAGACAGAAACACCCGAGAATAAAGCAATTTGTTCTTGCTCCAGCCATTCCACCCCCAGGGCATCATTCCATGCCTCATCCCAGAACTGCTGGAGCCTCCTCCATGATTCACGGTGTGTTTGGGGGCCTGAAACAATTCCATGTGCTCCTTCTGCTTAGTTAAATGTGCTTTTCATCCTCATTTTGGTGGATAAACAGGACGAAACCCAAGCAACTGGCAGTGGCTCTGCTTCCCCCGGTGGCAGTGGGCACAATAATCCTGCAAAATCACACCCCAGGTGGGAGGATGTTTAAATTTGAGTGGGAATTTTATGTCTTGTCTGCCCAAAAGGCCCTGAGGACATGAAGATGCTGCTGGTTCTTCGCCTGAAGGTGGATTAACAAGGAGTTATTTGAATAAAATGGCCTAAAAGCAAAAGGGAGGTGACGAATTCCAGCTTGGGGGGGCAAGGGAATAATAAGTTTCAGGTTGGATAATGCTTGAGCTGAGGATGATTCACCCAGTGATCCTTGAAAAAGCTTGGAAAGGCTTCACTGAGCACTAAGTAAAAACTTGGGAAGATGTGAAAAGTTTGCAGGGCCATATGAACCCTGCATTTAATCTGGAAATAATCTGGGCACTGCTCTCTGGCTGCTCTGATTTCAAGGATTTAAGGCATCTTTTAATGTTAAATTAAAAGATTTAACACCTCTCTCTATATAGATATATGTATACATATATATATATATATATACACACATATAACATAAACAATACTTACATGGCTCTTCTGTAAATATTTTCATTTCAACCTTTACAGTCCCCCCCTTATTTCAGTGCCTTTGCATGTGATGTAGGAGCAGCTCAGACCTGACCCCAGAGCTGATGACCTTCAGCCACTGGGTCCAAAAGAAGAAAAGAAGCAAAACAGCCAAAACTTTGTCCTTCAGCAGGATGGGACATGATGGCAGGGTTGAAAATTCAGAGGATTAAACCCTGGACAGGTTCAGTAATGAACAATCCCTATTTATTTAGAGGGGATGGATTTTCACAGGCTGCCCCAGAGAAATGAACAGGAAGAAAACTTCTCTTTGGAAGAACTTGGGTCTGTGAAAGCATTTTGAAATTCATTTCTTTGCTTTAATCATGGATTTTGATGTGGAGAGGGGTGCCAGGAATTTACTGGAATGGTTGATTGAAATAATTTCTGTCAGCTTGGCAGCAGAAATTAAGTCTTAACCACGACTAACACTTCAGATCTAAACTTTCATGGTAATATCTCCACCCCCAGCCAGTTTTGAGCTGTGAAACCCTGATTCCTTTGCCTGGGCTCTCACTGCCCTTCCCTGTTTTTCCAGCAGCATTTTGCTTTGTTTTCAGCCCTTGAACCACATCCCTTTCACTGGGAGGTTCAGAGTCAGGTAAATCTGTTTCTTGAACGTGGAATTCAAGTGTCCTGCAGACTTGCAGAGCATCATCCAGTACCCTCAGCTGGAGAGCTCCTAAAATTGGATACAGAGAGAGAGCTCCCAGGCCTGGGCATCCCTGTCCAATAAAAACAAACCTCAGCTATGGCATTTTAGCATGAAAAAAATGTAAAAGAGGCACTAAACTTTAATTGTGGCGTGCCCCCAGTGGAGCTGCTTGGATTGCAGGGTGACACTTGGTGTTGTTGAGGAAGGAAGCTCCCCTCACAGAGAGGCTTGGACACATCTCTCCCCGGGATTTTATTGCTCCTGTTTCTTTGTGGGTGTAGTTCCTGCAGTCAGGGAATGGGATATTCTCAGCAAATGAAGCTTCACAGAAAATCTCAGGTTGGACCAGAAAATCTCTGTGTCACCTCTGTCTGCATCTGCTCTAACTCGGCTCTGCACGGCGGAGATGACTTTGTGTTACACAGACACACTTTTCATCTCAGGGCACTCTGAAATATGTAACTTTGAAGTCTTTAATAGCATCAAATCTTAGGAAATTCCTTCTGTTCCTCCAGGAACCCTCTAACACGTCGACAGAGGGTTTTAAGCACAACAGGAGGCCATGCTCACACTTGATTAAAAGGATCTTCCTGACATTTAAACCTCTGCCCTGATTAGCCATTATTAAAGCAGCTGTTTGTCATTAAGGCAGGGCAAATGTGAGTGTAAAGGATGAGGAGTGATTGGAATTAATAGTTGTCTGCACTTCACTTTTCCTGAGCTGCCTGGGCCTTGTGATGGGGCTGGTGTGTGCAGTCAGGGGGGGACATATGGATTTATTGAAAGGTATAGTATGGAATTACATGCATGATGTCTGTAAAATTATAAATGATATTCTATGCATTGTATGTAAAATAATTCTCAGTGTCTATATGTGTGTTTTTTCACAGACTCATAGAACAGTTTGAGTGGGAAGGGACTTTAAAACTCATCTTGATCCAACCCCTTGATCCACACCTTCCACTAGCCCAGGTTGCTCCAAGCCCTGTCTGTTGAGCTCATCTAAACATCAACCCCCCTTATTTTATAGAATACACTTAACCCCCCATAAAAATACAGATCCTGTTCATATTAGTTGTCATTTCCACTCAGAAGAGAGCGAAAAACTAAATTTTGACATAAATCTCCAAATACCAGAGGTCATTATTTCCCTATCAGTTCGATTTTAAAGCCAGAAATGCTTCTCAAAAAGAAGTTTCTGCCTTGAAACCAAGAAGAGGCTTTAAAGGATGTGATGCTGTCCCTTAGTTCTGCTGTGCAATTCTAGAAGGAATAGTTGAATTTGCACTTTGAAGGTTTTCCACCCTGCAAATGCAGTTAGGGGAAAAAAACCTCATTATGTGGGAGGTTTGGGAACTTAAGGACCAGCAAATCAAAGCAAATGCAATTGCTCAGATTTTATCAGTGAGAATATTCGTAAATATTTTGCTGGAAGTCTGTTTGCTCGTTGCTCTTTCCTGTAATGAAATGGGGAGAAGGGGATGGAACTGATTGCAATTACTCTCTGAAAAAAAAAAAAAAGGAAAATTGAATTAATGCAAGTGTAGAGAGGTCCTGAGAGTAGTTCTGTTTAATTAAACTGTTCCTCTAAGGAGAAACTGTTATAAACTCTATATATTCAGGCATTTGTAGTTAATGCAAATATCTCAGATGAAAATCTGGACCATTTCCGTGGAAGTCTTGGAATTTAGAGGAGACAAACTGAAGTTGGGAGAAGAAATGTCTCAAAACCTCCTGGACTGGGAGGTGTTTAATTATTAAGGTGTAACAGGGCTTGGTTCTGGAAATGTCCCTGTTCTGGAAGTTTCCTTGAAGTCAAGGAAGAATTTCTGATCTCCTTTGGGAGCAGGATGAATCCTTAAATTGATTTTGCTAATCACCTTTTCCCCTTGTTTGTTTTGTCTTCCAGCTCTCGTAAATGTGAAACTTTGGGCTATTGACCGGCAATGTTTTCAAACAATAATGATGAGGACTGGCCTCATCAAGCATACTGAGTATATGGAATTTTTAAAAAGGTATGGCACTCCTTTATTTATCCCCAAATTCAGTGCAACTCCCGCCCTCATCTCTTGCCTTTTTGTTTTTTCCTGAGTGCAGTGTTTGATCTGTTTCCTACTCATGTCTTCAATATTATTATTATTATTATTATTATTATTATTATTATTATTATTATTATTTTTATTATTATTATTATTATTATTATTATTATTATTTTTATTTGCTTAAAGCAGAGAGAGCCTTGCTGTGGTTTAGTTTCATTCCTCTTGTGAGTTATTCGTTGGCAAAGAGTCCCACGGCCAAGGTGTGAGAGAAAAGCTCTAACATGAGTCATTCCAAGCATTCCCTGTGTAAGAAAACACCCATTTTTATAACACACACCCCCTTTTCCCTGGGAAAAATCTGGTTTTTAAACTGTGATGGAATTTGAAACCCATTTCACGTATGTTCTCTGATAAGTCAAATGTGAGTTTCTGGGGGGGGGGGAAAAAAAGCTTGAGGTTGTTGGAAAATGCAGGTTGGATGAGCAAAAAGGAAAACATGAAACCAAGTCTTTCACTCCTGAACACTCTCAAACATTCCTTTGGTTTGTGCTGCTGGAACAAGCCCTCCAAAGCCAGCTCTATTATCCCAGGAATCCCCTTCCCTGGGGGTTTGTCATCAGCCACTGGCTTTACAAGAAGAAAAGCTAAATAGCCAAAATTTGGTCCTTCAGCAGGCTGGGAGATGATGGTAGGATTGAAAATTAAGGGAATTAAGCCTTGGAGAGGATCAGTAATGAACAGTCCTTATTATTTAGAGAGCTGGGGGTGTTCATCTGGAGAAGGGAAGGCTCAGCAGCTCAGTTTGGAGGCAGCTCATTTTCCACGTTTTGGTGATTTTGCTGCTTTTCCGGGATTAGCTCCTGTTTTCCAGAGAGAGGTTTTCAGGGAAAAGTGCCGTGGGAAGACCTGGAAGATCTTCCAGTCTGCAAATCTTTGTCCCAAGTATGATGCACCCTCTTAAAAAGAGGGTTTGGGATGGAAAAATAATCCCCTCCAGCCACATCAAAGCAGGGGGAACAGATGCCCCCAAAGTGGCCAGACTGATTTTGACCCTCCCGTGTCATGTGCTTGGTCTGCTTTTGTTTCTGACCTGCTTTTCAAACATAAGACTTCTAAAATCAGAAAAAAACATGCACAGTACGTTCACTTGGACATCCAGTAAAATATACTCAAGAAATAGCTTGTATTTATTCACCTTTAAATTAGTTTTTCTCTTGGAGGAAATCGGGACATAGGGAAAAATAAAATCATAATATAAATTATACAAAGAGTTTCAATAATATAAATAATATTTATTATGTTATGTAAACATGTATTTTAGGTACTATATCTATTAAGTAGTAGTTGTTTATATAAAATAATAACAATATCTCTGCCCTGGAGGGGCCTGGGAGCTCCACGGGGATGTTCTGCAGCTCAGGGGTGACATCAAAGGAACTGTCAGAGCCTTTTCCAGGTGTCTCAGCTGATGGTTAGCAACAAGCAGGCTCAGGGGAGAAAACAAAACCTGTTGCTGCACCAAAAGGGCTTAAAAAAACCCCTCCCCTCAGCCATTGCCAAGCCTGGGCCTTCCCTGTGGGCTGGGGGAGGAAAGCCAAGCCGAGCGTGGGCTCCTCTCTGGGCTGAGCACAAACCCTTTAAACACACATTAAGCCTTTAAGCTTTTAGCTTTAATAGAGATTTTCTAGAAGATTGTCGAGATTAATTTGGATTCAGGTGCAGCAAAGCCTGCCCAGCTCTCACTTGAGAGCAAACAGCGAGGAGGGAACCGGGGGATGTTTCCTCATGGGTGTCTGAGCTGCCTGTGTGTGGAGTCCCCTCTGGGTGCTCCTCAGGGAGGTTTTGTGAAAGCAAACAGGTATTTCTATTTTAAATCTCACAGCTGGAGTTTAGGAGAAGGGTTTCTCCCAGTTGGAGCCGGGGAAGGTCCTGACAAAATGGTTCTTCCCCCTGGGTTCTCCACGTGGGCTCTGGGAACTTGTCTCAAGCTCAGCCTAATTCCCATTTGGTGCATTAAATGCTCATTTATAAAGGTGTTTTCCTCCTAAATGTTTTTCAGGAAAAATAGGATAAGTCCTGAAAACAAGAAACATGTCAATATTTGCCTTTATTTGGTTTTTTTGGGGGGGTTGGAGGTTTTTTTCTTTCCTATATTAAGACATGAATGACAATGCTCTTTTGAAGGAATAAATGCCACAGAAACGAAGGTTTAAATGGTGCCTGTCCACAGAAAAGTCAGGGGGGTTGGGCAGCATCATTTCCTGCTGATATTGGTCTAAAAATTACCCTTTTTAATCATGTCATGAGTCACAACAACATAATGATCGTTGTCTCCCGTAACGCACATGGACAAAGCACAACAGAAAATGAGCTTCTGGGGGTGACACAGGGAGATTCAGTTACTTATTCTCATTTATCCTGCTGAGAACAAGAGCAGCAGGAACATCCCCACTACACAGTGTCACCCTTTATGTCCAGTATTTTCCTCTGGGTGCCATAAGAAAACCATAACCCCATAAAAAGTGCGTTTCCTGCTTCAGAAATCCAGGTGGACATTCCTAAGGGGTCCTGGGCCGGGAAGGCTGACTCCTGGTTTGCTCCAAAGTGTAGTGGTTCCTATGAAAACTTGGGATAACTCTTCTGAGTTACCTCCTACAACTCTCCTGGAGTCAGGAGCAAGGGAATATCCTCTTTTTCCTGGTTTGTGTGAGGAACCAGTGTGATCAAAAGCCAGCCTAATCCCCCAGCAGCACCTCCTTCAAGCAGGAGCTGGAAAACCAGGCTGGTTTTTGTTGGTTTTTGGTTTTTTTTGATCCCTGTGTCTGTGCTGCAAGACAAATCACAGCAATGATTCCCTTTGAAGCACAAATTTTTGGGAGCCCATTATGTGGCTAAAGCAGTGTCAGCCCGAGGTGGTTCGTAGTGCAGCCAACAGTGAAAAGGGAAATTAAATATTGTGCTGTAGGTTGAGCAACTCCTTGTGCTACAGGGCTGGTTTTGCTGCATTTATCTTTAGCTCTTTCCCAATTAGTGCTTTTTGTCTGTAATTCAATATGTTTGTCCTCACACAAGCGAGGAAGAACATCACTGTCACTGCTGAAATCAACTGTTACAATGGTTACAGCATTGGAATGATTCCCTTCTCAAGCCAGCCCTAAAAATAACTCCATTTAAGCAAAATCAGAATCTTTCAGTCAAGGAAACAGCAGTTAATCAAATAAGTTTGTCCAAGAAATAAAAGGCTTGTGCTCTGGCAACAATTTCCTGCTAAATCATGGAAGTTTAAAGACCAGGATGCCTTGAAAGAGTGAATATTGCTTTTTTTTTTTAAAAAAAAAAAAAAAGCTTCCTAAAGTTCAATTAAAAGAGGCTGCAGGTTCCAGTCTTGGTGTAAGTGATTCATCCAAGACCCTGGAGCTGATCAGGAGAACAGATGGTGGATACTCAGAGTCACCTCAGAGGCAGGATCGAGGTTTGGAAGTGGATATTGGAAGGAAGTTCCCACATAGACACAATCTTACCTTCAAGGATCTTGTCAGTCCGAGCTTTAGCTTCATGTCAAAGCCTTGGATCTGGATGAAGAAGGAAAAGGAGGGGAGAATTTGAAAAAAGAGAGTTAAAGGTTGATGGTGACTTAGGGAAGTTACACTGAGAGAGTTTCAGGGGGGATAACACAAAAAGAGGGAAAGGGCCATTATTTCTGTAAGGCAAATAATTCCATCTGTTCTTAATGCCCAGTGAAATCCAGGGACACAGGTACTGGTTCAAACCAGGAGCCCATCCAGACCAAGCTCCTTTTGCTCCTTTCCATCCCAAGAGGTTGCTTGGACCATCCCTGCTGGAATGGAGGTGCAGTCCAAGGCTTTGGAGGCCAAGAGCATCATCTTGAAAGATGTTCCCAAAAAGGGCTGGTCATCACCCACCTTTGGGGTGTCCAGATTTTCCATAGGATCAAGGAACCACGGACTGGTTTGGCTTGGAAGGGACCTTAAGGGTGGAGAGAAGGAAAAGGCCGTTGGATTTCTGTGGGGAGGATTCAGGGGTGGCTTTATGTGAGAAGCTGTATGAGGGGGCAGGTGGTGATGATTCCCAAGGTGCCCACAGGAGCTCCTGGGAGGTCCTCACACTTCCTGGGCTCATCCATGAGGTGTGGAGACCCTGCCATCCAGGTTTTGTGCTATTGCAGTCCCCCTGCATGGAAAGCCCCCCGTGTTCCAGCTTTGGAGACGGCAGGGAGTGTTGTGTGCCTGTGCTGTCTGTTGTTCAGCACCTGATTCCAGGCTCAGGCTGTGCTGGGGACACCTGAGGGCAGCTCTGAGGGCTGGCTGGCAGGAGGAGCTGGATCAGCCTCTCCACGGTGCCTGGGCAGGCGCTGGAGCAGAACTGAAATGATGCTCCACGGCACCAAACTGGCCATTTTCGCCTGCCCTGCAACAAGAAAAACAGTCTTTCTCATTTCACAGCGGGGAGAAGGTTCAGGTTCAGGTGTTTCTTGAGGTGGTTTCTGTGCTGAATTGTTTCAGTGGGCGCAGTCTGGTCCCTGTGATCCTTGTGGGTGCTGTCAGTGCACAGGGAGGGCTCTGGGAGGGGCTGGGCCAGGTGTGTCTCAGGAACAGCAGTTTAGTGTTGACCAAGTGTGTTTTAATCAAAGTCTCAGTGGAGGCAGGGAAAAATCTTCTTGCTGCATTACCTACTGCAGCCCAGGGAAAAGGGACAAGGTGGGCATCAGGCACCTTGGAGGGCTTTTCCAACCTCAGTGATCCTGGGATTCTGGGATCCCACTGACAGCATTTTCCCCCTGTAGTGGCTCTGTCAGTGAGGAAAAACACCTTCAGAGACTCTCTTGTGATCTCAAGAGGCACAAGGTCTGATCTGGGCTTAAGTTGCTGCCTTCTCCTTATATATTATTCTGATAATTATGGTTCTGCTATTCTATTTGATATTCTGATAATTATGGTTCTGCTATTCTATTC